TGTGGTGAAGGGTGCCGATTCAGAGTCAGTGAGCGGGGAAAACTGTTCGCTGGGGTGTTCCCTGGGGTGCCTGGGCTGCCCGTCCGCAGGCCCAGCAAGGAGGCCGCCGGCCCAGCGTGGATGCGTCCGGACGCGCGCGGATCGGCCGGACGTCCTCACCCAATCAATAGTAGGTGTTTAGGATCGGATTTCTTGTCGTCAGAAGAGCACCGCCCAAGGTGGAGCCGAGTAGAACGAAAACAACCGGTAACCACCGTCATTGCAAACCGGTAACCACACTACGATCCCTTTGCACTGTTCTGCGAAAAAAGAGGACCTAGCGTGTTTCTCTGTGTTCACATTAAGCAGCGTTAGATGATATCCTAGTTATTGGATAGTATATATTTGATTACAAAACTAATAGTATCAAGTTTGTGATACTTAGCCCAATTATTGGTCAAAGATTATAAAGTTTGACTCTTGGCATATGTATGTGAAATAATAAATACCTTAATGTGTTATCATTGGATTATTTTTCAAAGCTTGCTGATAGTGTAAACATTTATCTAATTTAAAACCTATATAAAAATGTGTTATCATTGGATTATTTTCAAAGCTTGCTGATAGTGTAAACATTTATCTAATTTAATGTTTGTAATTGATATAGCCTCTTTCATATTGTTAAAATCTGCATTTATCTATATGTTAATTGTATTTGGTACGGGCTTTTCAGTTGGATCTAAACGGTTAGATGTTCGAAAAATTAACAGTGCATGGTTTTTATCTCTTTTCCGATTAATCTCGTAATTCTAGTCTAAAGTCATAGTATATCGGCAAACATGGTGGCCTTGTATTAAAAAAAACGAGTTTTTAATTGGGAGGTGTGACAGTTCAAATCTCGTACCTGCGTCAAGTCGAGTATTTCATCACGGCTGGAAAGGTCCACCACAAGTTCACGACCCAACCAAACCCAACCAGCAAAGCTATAAATGCTCAGTTTGCAACTTTGTTTGATTTGGCGTTATGAATCATTTTATATTCCTTAATTTTTCATAGAAGACCATTTTTGCGTTTACACTCACAAGTCATAAGGATCCACGATGGAACAAGTGGCATCAGATTTTTGTCCATTACTAGTCGCTGAACCGATGCGGTCAACATGAAAAGGAGGCGACGGTTGTGGTGATTTGCACTATATATATCATTGCAAACCGGCAACCACTCCGATCCCTTTAATTTGTTCAGCGAAAGAATAGGACCCTAGCGTGTTCAGATTAAGCAACGATAGATGATAGTCTTAGTGGGAGTTTCATGTGAGTTTCATTTCCATTACATACGTTGTCACATAGTCATTTTTAACGATGTGGCAGTGTATTTAAGAAGAGAGGGAAGAAATAAAACTTTTTTGGCACGATTATCAACTATCTATGAGTCATGAAATTAAATGTCTATGAAACTCTATAATAAAACTTTACATTAAAATTGGGTGTTTCATCCAAGTTTTATTGTCTTGGTAACAACGGTATGAAACTAAGCACTGAGACTTGCCTTAGACCGGAACGTATAGCCATAGCCCATAGCGCTTGACTAAGAGTTGCTGCCCTCATATATCATCAGTCCTTCACTAACAAGTCCTCATCTCCTTTGCAGTTGCATGCAGCCGTCCAGCAGGTCCAATTCCAATGCAAACAGCAGCATGCATTGCATTGCAAATGTAGAGCAGTGGTACGCAGCTCTACTCCAACCAAGTTCGTTCATTCCCCATGTTACTTGTTGCTATACCATATGCCATCTACCGCTGTGGCCCAAGAGCAAAACGGCCAAGAACGAACTGACAACGTCTCAATGATTGGGATTGCAGAGGAGCTAGCTAGGTAACAAAGAAGAAGGAGCTCGGCAATGCAATTAGCCGACGATCAGATCGATATAAAGCCGGCCGCGGCCGGTCAAAGCTGGGTGTGGACTAAGAGACAGATAGTCCATGGCCAACTCCTCTTCCATGTGGAGTCGCATATGCACTTGTAGCAGTTCATTAGTTGGCAGTGCTTTGTTTACTACTCTAAATAAATTGGATCGGTAACAGCATTTTCACAAAGGTATATATGCATATATGGTGTATATATAACAAGGTCCAAGTTCATGCGAGGCCAGTCATCAGAATTCAGATCAGTGGCATACCCAACTTTATTTCAGAGCTGAAGAATTTAATTAGCTTATACTGTTAGGAACTGAATTCATGTTCTTTTTTCTTTCTTGAAAGACCACGGCTACTGAATTTATATCGGATATGCTGTGCACAGTGTTCAAAAGGAAGGAGCATTCTATCTGCGTGTGATCCGTCTGTGGCCTACCGGCCGTACATCGGCCACGGATCTGAATCTGAAGCTTGTTGGTGCCATTATTGTTGTTCGATCACGCACCTAACCGAATAAGATTCTCAAGCTAGTATATATATATATATCCAAACTCTAGTCCAAGAAACGAATGTGTGATTTGATCACATGCATGACACTGCCCGGCTAGCAAGCTAAACTGAAATGCTGAATTGAAAGAAACCCCTCCGGTTTGTTGTATAAATATACGGCGCCGGCGGATATGTGCAGATAGTGGTCAAATTCAGATGAACTTCACATGGTCGGCGTTTAGGACTCCGTCTGAACTGGTGACCATACTAAGCATTTGACCAGATGACCTGACCTGACGGCAATATTGTGTGATTTCAGAGTCAGAGAGAAGGAGAGAATTAATGAAGGACAGAAATGGTACGCGGATACCTGAATTCTCCAACATTTATAGGCGTCTGATCCGACCAGCACAGTCAAAGGGAACCAAAGACTATAGTTTTTTTTTTCTTTTTAAATAAAATTTGCATCTGCAAGAAAGAACCACGATGAAGTGATGCAGTGATCCCAGGGCAACATGTTCACACAGCTCGGCCATATGCTCCACTCCACTCCACCCAGGACATGGAGGAGAGTACGTAGCATCCATGTTCCCTGCACGTTCCCACCTAGTGGAAGTGGAAGTGGAAGCAGCGTGCTTCGTCCTCCACTCGCAGCCATGTTAGCACTAGTAGTCTAGTAGACTAGTACACGTAATATACTGCAGTGCAGGGCCACGATCCCTCTGTGTTATATATATATATATATATACACACTATAAAATAACTTATTTTGTAGTCACTTTTGAGTTACGATCATTATTATACCAATTTACAAAATTATAATAACTCCTTATTAAATAGTTTACTATAATGTTACGGTAAATATCCCATGTGTTATAGTAACATAATTATCGTAAATATGTATTTACTTTGTCGTAAATTAAGTATATAAAATTATCGTAAATAAATGTGGCTACAAAATAATTTATTCTATAGCTAGCTAATGAATATACTCTCCCTATATTTTATTTATACACACACAACCCGCGGTTACTTCACTGGCTAGCTCGCTCTGCAAGTCCAAGATCTACTCCTCCAACTCCGTCCAACACACCTAGACCTAGCAGCTAGCAATCCTCCTGCTCCTGCTCTGCTAGTAACTGCAAGCCACACACAGACTCAGCTGAAGCCTCTGCAGATGAAGCAGGCTGCAGTATGCCGCTACAGCGCGGCCATGAGCGCCGTGATCCTGCTCCACCTCCCTCCTCCTGAGCAGCAGTGCGACGGCCGCAGCAGCAGCGTCGTCGTCGCTGACGGCCCTGCGTCCGGGCGGTGGCGAGGACAGCAATGCGGTGGCATCATCGTCATCGCAAGAAGGCTGGGCGCAGCGTCGTCGTGCCACGGCTGCCACGGCCACCAGGAGGCTGCTGCGACCGGCGGCGGCCGCCATGGCTACCAACACCTTCAATGCCGCCAAGGATAACGGCCATCGACCAGCAACGCCGACGACGAAGATGGCGAAGCCGAACGTGGAGTTCAACGCCAGCACCAAGACCGCGCCGACGAGCAGATACAACCCCAGGCAGAACTAGTAGTCCTGATGATGAAACCGGAGGAAGCTGCTGCTACAGCTTAGTATCACTTGCTGTTCCTTGATTCTCTGATTCCTTCTCTCTTGTAGCTAATCTCTACTCTGTAGCCAGCCTTGTGTCTCTCTTCATCTTGTGTAGAGAAAAAAAAGAACTAACCTGATAGGTTGCTTACTGTCAGCTGGAATTTCCTAGCTAGTTTTACAGCCTGTTCGTGGATTATTTACTGTTGACTGGTTTGGTGTGAGAGAAAAATACTGTTCCAGCTTATAATCACAATCGTACCATGATCTGTAGCTTCAATCTGCTTGGTATTAGCAGATTGAGATCCATTTGTGCATGGTATTCATTTTTCATCACTGGGCGCCGAATATATTGCCCCCAACTTCCATTCTAGCCTCTACACCACTAACTTTGTGAAGTTGGTGGAGTGCAGTGTCATTAAACTCAGAAACATCTTCAAGAAAAACTCAAAATCTGAATAGATGCACAGACGCCAAATTGATTCATCTCAGCTTGTCTAAATCACCATTCCTTGTCCAAACTAGCCCTTGTGTAAGAACCAAGTTAAGGAAATCAGCAATTTTAAACCCAAACAAGAAGGTATAATGATAATAAAATAATAATCAACAAACTTAAGCAGCATGGAAAATATTTGCAGTTCAGATCATATCTATGAGACTATGACCAGTAAGTTCTACAACTGTTTTAGCCCTACAACTGTCTACCAGTTGGCAACTCTTAAGCACCAGTTTTCCAAAGTCACTTTCTTCTGCCTCGGGGGATAAATGCAAACGAAAAAAAAAAAGTCTAACTACTTCACATAACCAGGAAGAGTGAAAACTCCTCAGACAAGAGAAGGAATAGTTATACGTCACAAAAGACGCATGCCTATTCTACAATCTTCTAATTCGTTGCCATTGGCCCTGCCTCGCTTGCAGGACCAGCCACGCTTAAGCTCGATACTCGGTGAATACTGTTTAATGTACAAAAAGTTAACACAAGGTGCGGCCTTTATAAGCCCATGAATGCCATAGCCACCGTTGGAATCACTGTCGTTGGGCAGACGGAGATTGCTGCACCTGCACAGGCGGAAAGAACCCCATGCCTGATGATTGAAAGAATCCAGCTGATGTTGGTGATTGCTGTGGCGCCTGAGGAGACTGCTGCTGCTGCTGGGGCTGGGGCTGACTCTGAGCTGGTGGAAGTGGAGGTGGAGGAGGTGGCCCACTTGGTCCCGGAAAACCTGCCGGCAGAATGTTGGTCAATGGAGGCGGAAGTGGTATAGAGCCAGTCATCATCCCGAAAGGTCCTCCCATCCCAATCATTCCTCCAGTATTTTGACCAAATTGTTGCAGGTGCGGTGGCAATAGAGAAGGCAATGGCGGTGGAGGTGGTGGGAATGGGCCTGGAGTTGGTGGATGCGTGCCTCCAAGAGAAGTAGGCACTGCTCCAATCTGTTGTTGCACCTGTGGCGCTTGCCCAAAAAAGGGAGGTGCACCCATGTCAGCAGCCTGCCCTGTTTTCTCAAGCCTAGGCCTCTTATCAATCTGGAAACCTGGTGGTCCTCCAGAGAATTCTCCAGAAGGCGATCCGCCATTTATGGAAGCAGCTTGCTCAGCAGCAAAAGATGACAAAATGGAGGTCAGCACCTGCACAGGTGCTGACAAAGATGCAAGCTTATCTGCCATAGCTGCTGCCGTTCTCTTGGACTCATCACCCACTGCACTGACTGTAGGGGGAAGTGAAGTTGCAGGATTCAGTGGTTGTGACTGGGGAGGTGTCGATCTTACTCCTGAACCCTGCATTATAGCCGAAGTTTGCTCTGGTGGAGTAATCATGAGCGGACTAGAAGTAGATTGTGTAAAGCTCGTGACAAGGGCATGGCCCAGTTGTTCTCTAAGTTGGATGACACGTTGAGCCTCTGCTTGAGCAACCTGTTTTGATAATTAGATCAGAGATTAGCAAGACGACATGTTACAATCATAAAATGGCTAAAGCATGACTACAGTTGCATAAAAGATACCAATATAAAAACAGTGATATCTACCAATATTAAAGAAAGTTAATTGTGACCTCACAGATAACTTTCAACAAGTTAATTGAAGAGCAGCAACAGGCAATAAGGCTGTTTATATCAAACTCATGATGTTGAACATTTCATGCTATATATAGGCACAACAAATTTTCAGTGAACGCTAAGGCTGTTTATATCAAATATATATAAATGAAAGGAACTTCATGAGACTACAAAAAAGAAACATGCAGAAGGAAAAAAAAGAGGCCAGGAGGGGGATCAGGGAAAACGCAAAACCACTTGAACATATATAATAATCTTTACCCTCCAAAAGTGTCTCAAGATTTATGTGAAGAAAAAATAGGTAGAAGACACGATTTCCGTCAGTCTCGATAAGGATGCTATTGGGTAAACATTACCCACACAAGCATGCACACACTATTTGATAGGGTACAGAGTAATAACTGCAAGAAGGCAGTTGGGGCAGTTGGTAGACCATATCTTATTCAAGCCAGGCCTAGTTTGAGCTAATTTAATAAGATTTGAGCTGTTAGATTGATAGGTTATCTTTTGTTAGTTAGAAAGCTATCTCGTGATTGATTTGTTTTCTAGTGTGAGCCACCGAGCGCCGGTTGTGGACCACGGCAGGGGCTCGAGGGCTTTCCCTCTTGTCAGCCCATCTCCCAGGCGATTAGTCTTTGGGTCTGTGTGGGTAGCCTTGCAGCCAGCTTAGGTGCGCTTGTGCTTTGGCTGCAGTAGCGTGTGTTGTGTGAGTGAGTGAGTTGTGTTTGGGTGGGTCTTGTAAGTGTTGGGTTCTTATACCCTTTTTCTTCTTAATACAATGAGACGCAGATCTCCTGCATTTTTCGAGAAAAAAGGAAGGGAGGTATACCCTCCCAGTACATACAGCCCTGATTAGAGCCCTAGTTTCAATAGTCAGGATCAGCACTGTAAAATGCCTCCCAATAATTGATCAAGTAAGAATTAGCAATCTGCCTTCCCAGTCCCTTCTCAATCCTGCCTCACTGGGTGGGGTGGTAGCTAAGCACAACTGTGGGGCACAGCTCTATTAAAACTAAACACCACACACTAAGACACACTACAGCTATCTCCTGCAATTGGATCATTCTACCAATGTACAAACCCACTAGAATATAGGGTGCGGGGACAGTAACACACACTTGCCCATCATTTACCCATGCCCACACAGTTCATTACAAAATTAATATTCCCCACTATAAATCTAGCAAGAATGCACGACCCGCGTACGAACAGGCGGACAGTCATGGAAGATGGAATCGAGGCTGCGTGTGCTGCAGGGACGCGCTGAAGAGACGAGAAAATCCAGCAGACCGAGGAAGCAGGCAGCCACAATGAATCGGACGAGAGAACCCCTGTGGCAAATCATGCAGACAACGAGCTGCACAGACTGAGGGGACGCATGCCAGCACTGATTTCCACGGGGGGGCGGACAAGCAACAAGTTGTGCGACAGCAAATTCGACGAAGAATGACAGCAGTGGTCACATGGGGTGAAAACAAAATCATCTAGGGCAGATCGAGAGGAAACCTAACCCTAGTTTGGCTCTGTAGTCTGTACCATGACATGAATAGAACTTGTATTCATTATGATTTATGAGAGCTCTAGGCCCAAATATATGTAGGTACATGTATTAGCAAACTACGTTGCACGGATATGTCGCTGGTCCCCCGTATCGCGTATCGGATACGTATCCGATACGGATACGCCGCTGATACGTGTCTGCGGAGTATCCGTTTTTTTTCATTTTTTCACGAATATTGGATACGTGGTCTGATACGTATCTTCGTCGCCGATACGGCCCAGCCCAACGAAAGTGCCTTATCCTGTCCCCGACGCCCTAGCCTCCCGATTCCCGCACGCCTCGCGCCGCAACCCCGCGCCTCGCGCAGCATCCCCGTGCACCGGCCGCCGGCCACCGGCGACGAGCCTCCACCTCTTCGCTCGCCGGCGACGAACCTCCGTCCCCGCTCGCCGGCCGCCAGCGACGAGTTTCCGCCCCTGCGACGTGCCCCCGCCCCTCGCGCCACATCCTATGCACACATCCCCAGTCCCCACGTGCACCGCCCTGGGGAGCACCCACCAGTCCACTACGGACGCGGCTAGCTCCCGCGATGCGGGGGGAGATGCGGGGAAGAGGACGATTCAGCATTCAGCAGCAAAGCTAGCTTCCGCCGATCTCCCATGAGTACACTCCCTTTTCATTCTTGATGTACTCTACTTCTCTACTTGTTGCTTGCATCCAGTAGATGGCCTCTCCAAATTTCAGCAGTGCTGGCGCAACCGTGCAAGTGCTAGTGCTAGTCAGCTAGTCCTAGCATAGGATCCACTGGCCACAACCATAACAGACACAATCCTGTTCCTGACTTCCTGTTTAGTAATTGCGCAGTATAGTTGGACTTGGATCTCCTGTGAAAATTAAGACACCTACAAGGTGATCTGGTGATGTATCATATATGATTGTATGTACTATAAACTAATAATTAGTGATTACTCAATTTACACTTTCACAATTTTAATTTGCATTATTATTTATTTTATTAAAAAAATAGTAAAATGTATCCGCGTATCAGGTTTACTGAGAAATTGCCGTATCCGCATATCCGTATCCTTCTAATACCGATACGCGTATCCGTATTCGTGCTGCATAGTTAGCAAATATGCACAAAACTCCCTTATACAATGAGGAGGTACAAAGAGTTAGAATACATCTAACATTCAGTATACTTGGCTCACGTTCACACCATAGATTTCTACAAGATCAATTAAAACACATCAGACATGATTAAATACTATAGAGGATCTTTGCGGAGATTGGAGGGACTAAATACACAAGTAGGCTCCATGAACATGAAGAAAATGAATGACATCTAAAAGAACTTGGAATTTCAACCTTTTGTTGACACCATAAATTTTCATAGCTCAAATGAAACTTGTGGGAGATAATCCTGAACGGCTTTGTGCTGGCTGGACCAACCGCACAGGGTGGGCGCACTTGCAACGCGGGGACTATGGACAATAATAAAGTTTATTCTCTAGTTGTAGGTCTACCCATATCCACTAGTAGTACCCGCAACTGTGGCTATGCATGGATAGGTAAGATTTTGATGGAATTAGGTTCCCCACACCCCAACAAAACCGAAAACATCTGAGTGCACAGGATAGTTCAGACCCAAATGCATGTAACAGCACACAAAAAAACTGTCTTTAACATAAGGCACACTAAGTTGTTATGAATTATGATCATGGACATATATGTGCTGCCACATACCCAGCAACCACAATCGGTCAGCCTTCCATTGCAAAGGAAAATTATGCTAGAGTGGTAGAGTATTTAATCATGCTAGAGCTTCCCTGTAACATGTGCATGTTCTGCCTCTATTTCTAATTATTTTATCACACAACGTATCTTGAACATGTGGATGCATTGATCAATATGATGCCATAGTTTTATAATTATGTCCATATCATGGGACATCTTAGGCAGTACTAAGATAAAAGAATGGTATCCACTCTCCACTGTCCAGAACTCTAAAATAGATTAAAAGAGTAAATGGGACAAGATAGATAAGCATCATAGTGAGGATGTGATTTTGCAAGGAATAACAACAGATGAAAAGGACAACATGCAATAAGATATAAAGAAGAATTCTTACTTGCAATTGACCGCGAAGAACTACTGACTTCGACTCCTGTTATAAAGAAGAAAAACATATAGTTCTGAACAGCACAAGGTATGTAATTGAGATAGAACGTTGGGAAGATAATGAAAAGGCTCAAAACCTGTTCGCTGAGAGCTTGTTTCAATTGATTGATCAGGGATACCCTTGCCATATCTACACTTTCAAGTTGTTCGATGCACTGTTTTAGGGTCATTTCCTGTTCTTGCAGGTCAGAGATCAATGACGATGCTGGCTGATTACCTTATGAAGAAACATAGAGGATTAAAATAGCAGAACACATCAGAATGTAGTCAAACTTTCTTCAACAGCAGATCACAACTTTGAATAACTAGTGAGCAAGCAAAATCCTTACCGTTGATGCTAGCATCGTTAATATCTTTATTTATCCTCTCCAAAAGGCCCACAGTAGTCTTACATTTGTTTAAAGCTGTGTCTTCGTCAAAATGTTGATCAAGCACTGATTGGTATGCAGACACAATTTTTTCAGGCATCCCGCCAACAGTGAGTTTCTACAGTAAAAGTTAACAATAAGGTGGTGCTCTCATATCCAATTCAATGTCAGAAGTCAGATCCACCCAAGATAATAAGCAGCTTACTTTTACTATTGTACCGGAATCCTTCCGTGCAGCTTTGGAATTTGAAGTGGGATTAGAGCTAGGATTTAAACTATTCCCATTGTTAGGAGGGTTGTCACCAAGAATGTCATTTTTCATACTTTCAATACGGGTCCCAAAAACTTTACGATCATCCCAGATTAACATCTGTAGTTCCAAAAAAGAGTAACAAGATAGAAACATTTAGCTTACCTAGTACTTATTTTGGACTTGCAATAAAAGATGACGTAAAAATTCCATCAGTTATTCCACAATTAATCTAGTCACACTATGACTAGGAATTTTCCGTACAGAGTATTGATGAAGATAAAGCAAACTAAGACTATGATCATGTCTTAAAAAAACATCAAAGCAAACAAATACCTGGAATTAAGATAAGTGTACTGGGGGAGTAATAAGGATAGTTGCATAACTAAAGCAGCAAAAGCATATGAATCCAATAGATTGCTATAACAAATAAACTAAGGATGGTCATTGATCCAATGGTACTATAGTAGCATGATGGTACAGATATAAAGCAGCAAAAGCATATGACACCAATAGTTTGCTATAACAAATAAACTTAGGATGGTCATTGATCCAATGGTACTATAGTGGCATGATGGTACAGATCCTCCTGCATTATTAGACAAGGTTGTAGGACAACTCTAGAATAAAGTTGCTTCTCAAATGCGAAGAATTAATCACGTAACAGTGAAAAAAGATTAAACTTACCAATCTCGCCACCTGCTTCTTCCCTTCTTCTCCCCCCTTTTCATAGACATGCTTCATTGATCTAGGTAAAACCCTCCAGAATTCATCCACATAGTCTGCTCCCTTACGTTTGCTGTTTTGCAGGATATCATTTGATAGATATAGGAATGATATTTTCTTATCCTCCCTTGCAATAGTAAACTGCTTTTCCCATGTGTCCACAACCCTTTTGGCCCTCTTGCGGTGAAAAATGCACCATTGTGAAAGTGCTGCATAAGAATTAAGGAACATAAAAAGAAGAACCACAAATGCAATCTCTAGATGCAAACTTACATATTAAAAAAAAGACAAAATTCCGATAAAAATTAACATCATTAACAGACAGGAAGTGTGGAAATAAATAGACAAGGTGGTTATTTACTACTTGAGAAACCTGGACTAAATCAAACTATATAGTAGAAAGACATACTTAAAGCACACAAGATATATAAACCACAGAATTGAGACCACCACCATTAAGAAAAAGGGGAACACAGTTCCTAGGTCAATACAGGTTCCATCTTTGTAAAATGAAAAGTTCCTACCATGCAGGCTCCCACTAAAAGGTGGTCAACAGTTTCAGTCATCTCTTCCTAATTTGATAGTGTAATTATATTACATCTCTAGAAACAGAACATGTCTTGAGGCCAAAAAAAAAAGAGCAGCATTGCTCAATAAACCTACAGGTTTAGACATTTAGTGGTGGACATCAAATTAAGCTGAGTGTAAGCATGGAAAGTTAACAAGGGGTGAGATCATTTGGTTCTATAGGGTAGGAATGGTTAGTATGTCATACAGCAATATATGCAGACACAGTATATCTCACAGTAACTTGAGTAGAGATGGAGTTGTATATAACAACATACAGCACGGATTCCTCACGCAGAAGCAAGCACAATGATATTAAAATAATCATATGATTCTCCTTTTTTATCAATTAATAGAGAGTGACATGCGACATGCCTTACTTCAAACTCCAAAAGTAGGGCTTGCAGGATTTGTTTATATAAATTAATAAGGAGTTAAGGGTGTAGGACATGTCTTCACTTCACTGGTTAGTTGGCTCAAAATGAAGATATATGGCCATGATGTAGAAGGTGATGTAGTACTGGCAATACCTTTTCAGTGCAATAATATGCTAGAACAATTTAGTTTGAACATGGAACAGGTAACAAACTACAAAAGATCATCAGAATACCATAAAGTGCAAGCAGCAAACCAAAAGCAAAAAAACAGGCTTACTAATTACTACCATATTAGTGCATAAATAACAGCAAGAGACATCTCTTGCTTGTTGAGACATATATTTCTGTTATCCTGTCTAGTTTACCATATTAAGTGAGCAGAACAATTATGTACCACATCCTTCACTAGGAGCTAAAGTTTAGCCATGTCGTTCTTACTTGTAAACTAGTTTGCAATTATACTCTAGTGACAGCTAATAGATGCAATGTGTAGTCTTAGGAATTCATGTTATCATTTTCCATTTCACAAAGGGGGCAGCCTCAAAGACAATGAAATTCGTCTTTATAGAGAAATGGAAACCAAGCAAGCATTGGCAGTAAAGACAACAAAAACAAAGCCATTTAGTCCCCAGAAAGTTGGGGCAGGCTAGAGTTGAAACCCAACAAGAGCCACCAATAAAGAAGTAAAAAGAAAAAGGGCATTAATGACGATAGTAACAGTAACTGTACTAATCACAAGAGGAGATGGTAGCCTATGTCATCTTTTCAGTGGTGCAGTGCTGGTTTCTACGCACTTATGTCCAAGGACAGAAACGCGTATATTCAAGTGCAGCACAAAGCTGATTCGAAATCCAAAACTTGTGCCGTGTTTGATTTGCATTTACAATAGGAGAACTATCTTATTCAAATAAACTGCACGAGAAAGACTCTAGAATCAAGAGAACTGTCAGGAAGTAGAGTAATATAAATCATACTGTAATACTGATACACTACACAAGCGGATTTGCAATTCCTATATATGTGCACCTCCAAACTAACAACACGATAAGCACTACGCGGAACAGAGCAAGACGGCTATACTTAGATCTCCTAGCCAGTTGTACTCACAGACATTGCAATTTACAAGTTAGGGCTTTACTTAATCAAGAGATTATGAAACAGACAGCAAACACCATGCTACCAAATTTGCTAGCGTGCAGTAAAGTAAACACGGAAGAAAGGATACTTTGAATGCTAGTGGCTGAGTTGTTGAGCCTGTTGAGCTTATCAATCAGCCTCTGCTCGCTGAAGGAGCCGCCGCTGCCGCCACCGCCGGCCCCGGCCCCGGCCCCGCCCCCGTCTCCCGTTTCCGCGTCTACATCCGCCTTCGCGCCCGCCATCACGAAGCCTCTAACTAATCCGGCTCCCTCGTGGATACGCCACCAAATCCCTAGAAAAATCTGTACTCCTGCGAAAGCAAGATCGAGCTAATTTTGCGCATAAAAATTCAGAGAAAATATCCAGAAAAAAAAACCAGAAATCTCGGGATTGTGGTGGGAGATTGGAGCTCGGAGTTCTACGGGGAGAGATGCATACCTCGGTAGCGAGTTCCTGAGCTTGAGCTTGCCGCCGCGGACGAGGCGAAGGGGAGGGGGGGGGAAGGTGGGAGACGAAGAGCCAAATCCAATCCTTATTCGACGCGCGTGCGCCGGAACTGCTAGCTACGCACGGCGCGACGCCTTCCGCGGCGAGGATAGGGAAGGGCGGCGGGCGCACGGGGCGGATGGGAGAAGGGCGGAGCGGCGGCGCGGCGTGCTGGTGGTTTTGGTGGGGTGGCTTTTTTTTCTAAACCAGGTTTTTTCCCCCCTTTTCTTTTCCAGCGTATTTTGCGCATGAGACTGAGAAAAAGGGTAAAAATAAAATATTTTATATGTATATATTTATTTTGGCTGGCCTTCTTTACTGTGTGGATTATCTGTTGTTGGAGGATTGACCGTATCTTAGACTTATATATGTCTATACTGTATCTTAGACTTATATATACTCTATCCATTCCGTAGAAGGAGTATCGTTCCTATTTTTGAGAAAGTCAAAATATCTTAATATTTAAGATACATAATAGATATCATTAACTAATCATTGAATATGTTTTTATAGTAAATTTATTTGAAGCTACAGATGGGCTACTAAATATTTTCATAAATCTATAAAACCCTAGGCTACTTTATTTTTAGGATAGTGGAGTATAGCACAGCTTATTTATATTATTTAGTTGCTTGATTGAAGAGACATATATGCAGTCTAATGCATTATTTGTTCTTTTGCCTGCATCCACTAAAACGCTAGGATTGAATTTTCCTGCTTTGTGCACTATTTGCCTATGCGACGGCAATGGGCCGCCATTTCCCCTCCTCCTGTCTGCCTTTTTTTCTTTGCTTGCTCTTATATCTCCCCTTCTTGTCCACGGTGCATCTATTTGTCAAGGATGATGTCTCTACTTAGATATATAAAGAGAATATAATATGGAAGCATATAAGAGTGAAGGACTTGTTTACAGTTTTAGGTAGGGTAAACTTAGCACTGCTCACGTCCATGATGGCACTTAGCAACAATAGTCAACAATTGTGCCACCGCCAACTTCTTACTCTTCTTCCTTGAAATAGTTTTTTTCTAACTAATCTACTTCAATGTCACAGTACATGGTGTCGCCTATGGCAGTTGCACCGGCCTAGAAGGCTCTGTGGTGGCCTATGATCGGGTATAAACAAGTTCGGTGATGTTTTTCTCAAATACGCAAAAGATTTGTGTATCATTGTATTAAGAAGAAGAGTTTAAATAGAGATACAATACGCTTCTATTGAGCGCCAAGGAGGTCTATGTAGCACAGCCGTAGCTGGACCATCCTAGCAAGAGACCTCTTATTTCGATATTTCATAAAAGGAAACAACCAATACCGACACAGCGGTGCGACCTAGGAGGTGGCCTTGCGTCTTCGCGACCACCTGGATGAGCCCTTTTCAACAAGTTTTGGTGATGTTGGGCCTTCAAACCAAGCATAGTCCCTGATTTTCGCAGGGTCGAGCTCAACTCTCTTGATAATGCCAAATGGCATGGCAACAAGGGCACACCGTGATAAGTAACATTTACATCCTATAATTGTTGTCATGAAATAAATCAACTCATAGAGTTCCATTAAGTCAAACTATTTTAAAGTTGACTAATTTTATAGAGAAGAGTACACTCCAATTAAGTAGACTAATTCATTTAAATGACACCATTTTGGTGTCATAAATATTGGTATTATTTTCTATAAATCTAGCTAAATTTAAGATAGATTGACTTTAGGGAACTCTAGTAGCTGATTTGTTTTGAATAAATCCAGTAAAATTTAAGATAACTTGATTTTAGATAACTCTAGTATTTGATTTATTTTAAGACGAAAGGAGTATTTGGTTTGGCTGGATCATTAATTTACTATGACGAGAGCCCTTATGAGACAAATTCAAAATGTTTAAAATGATCTTCTTTATGGGGTGAATGGAATTCTATACCTAATACCTATACCTACCTACCTAATACTAAAGAGGCAAAATTTCTTGCAACTAATAAATTTTCGTTCAACCTACGAATAATCCTAAAGTGGCTCGGTTTCGACGATTCTGCAACTGTCTGCTGCTCACGCGGTTGACACCGGCGCAAATATGGTGTGGAGATACAACTGTAGTCGTTTTTTCCCTATGTGGTTCCATGCGTTGCTATTTCGCTTGATTATATTCCACCAGGGAACGACGTGTTGTAGATCGATGAGGCTGACGTTGTGGCGAGGAAGCGAGCAAAGAAGGGGCAGGGCCGCGACGTCCGGATCGAGCAGGCGATGCCGAGGGACGGAGGAGAGGGAGCTGAACACCGCGGGTTCCCGTGCGACGTGCGATGTGGCTTTGTTCCCGCCGCAGCTCCAGGGTTCGTCGTCTTTGGTTCAGCAAGAACACCGCAGTGGTGGTCGCTCCTCGACACCCGGCACGAACGGAGCGCAACTGGACACGGCAGCTGCGGCCTTGACCTAGGCAACCTCACGGCCCTCACCTGAGATCGGGAGAGAGGAGATGGACAAAAGGAAGAGGATTGCACGTGGTGGCAGCGAACAGGGAGATATCGAGGAGGGCATCAGCTTGGGGTTTTTTTATAGCTCGGAGGACGCAGACGCCGGCACCGTCAAGAAGCAGCGCGCCCTCGTGGGTCTGCTCCCGGCGCAATCCAAGAATAGCCCCGCTCTGATGGCCTTCCTCTCGGGGCTCCTCAAGACGGCGATGGTGGTGTCCGCATCCAGCATCTACACTTCTGCAGGGCCGACATGGAGAAGCGGATCGGCATGCAGCTGGACCAGGCCATCCTAGAGGACATATTCGTCGCCTCCGGCGCGGGCGCGGGCACGCCGGTCGGGCAGCAGCACGTGCTGTATGACACGGACGTGGTTGCGCGCATCTTCTCGGTGTTCTTCAACCTCGATGACGACAACGAGGAAGACGCCGAGTTCGACTAGGACAGCCCGTGGTCTCCGAAGCAGAGCCTCCTGGTGAAGGCCACCAAGCTGCTGAACAGCTACCTCGTAGAGGCCGCGCTCGACTCCAATATCCTCCCGTCGTCCAAGTTCATCTCCCTCGCCGAGCTGCTCCCGGACCACGTTCTTTGTTTTGTTTTTGCGTGAGCATTTTAAGATTTTTTCCCACGTGACTCAAGCGTCCCGGTTTGATTCGATCTTATTTCTTTTGGTTGTATATTTATTTCTCATAAATTTAAAATATAAAAATAAAAGCAAGTATCATATGCCTTTCAACATCTAATCTTTCTCTATAAAATAAAGATCTGTGCACCACTAAGTTATTGATGTAATTTAACTAAGAATAAAATAACCACTAATCTTTCTTTATAAAACATTGTCATACTATTGGCATCAATATAGCTTTGAAGGTAATACACAGATAGATCTATTGCGTTCCTGATCTCATTTTCTATGAATATTTGATTGCTTATTTTCTCCCGTTGCAACGTACGGGTCATATTTGCTAGTACAATATAATCCAGCTAAATTTAAGATCCAATGATCCATATAGACCAGTTTTGCAGCCAACTGGACCTCATCTTTCCTATGAGAATCACACCCATGGACATCAAACGTCTATGGGATGAAGAGAATTTTGCAGCCAACAACAGGACCTCTCATCTTTCAATGTACATACGAATATTACGTATGAGAATCACGCGCGCCCATGGAGACATCAAACGTCTGTTATTCTTTTAACTTTGCAGACAACTGGACCTCACGAGGATAATTGTACAACACAGCTTAGCATGTTTTGATATGGCCCGTTGGCAAAATCTGAAACAGTGCGCTATTTGAACGCTAAAGTACGTTATGCAATTTAGCGGAGCTATAGTACTAAATAGTGGTCAAAGTTGGCATAGCGGTAGTGGCACAAATAGCAATAGCTTAGCGTGGAGTCTCTCCAGCCGCTATAGCACCACTGTGGTCCGCTATTTTAAACCATGATTTGTCCACATGCTAGTTGCTAGGCCAGCTACGTATATTCGTATGCACGTTGAAGCGCTGCCAGATGTTGCTCCGTGGCACGCAGTGTTGGAAGCTTCACTCTCTGAGGGTGATGAGCTCCTTGTGAAGCGCCATCGCCGCCCTTAGGTGCAGAGAACAGTATGCTGGAACAAGCTCCGTCCTCCTCGGCTTCCAGTTCCAGCCGGTAGAGTTGCTGGCCGGCGGCGAAGTTGCCCAGCAGCTGGTACGAGCTCGCCGAGCCGTCCATGGTTAAGCACATCTCATCGGTGCCTGAATCAATGAAATAAACAGATTTACTTATTTATGCAAATCGGATCCAGCTTTAGCACACGTACGTCGACGATCGAGGAAGTGGCGATGACCGACGTACATGCGGCGAGCTCCTTCTGGGTGCGGTAGAGGAACTGCAGCACGGCGGCGACCTCGTCCCGGAACCTGGAGAAAGGGCCGCCGCCGTCGCTGTCTAGCTGCAGCTTGCGGAGCTTGCAGAGGCCCTCGCCGAGCTCCATCATCGCGCCGCGGTGGTTCTGCGCAGGCCGAGATCGTCATATCGGGATGGAGCAATTGGATCGTCGTTGCGTTTGCACCGACGATGTCAAATTCAGAAGAATTCATCGAGCATCTATTGGCATAGAGTTCATGAAGGAACCTGGTTGAAGAGGTGGTGGAAGCCGACGGCGCACTGGAGGACGCCGTGGAGGAGCGTCCGCGCGGGGTCCTCGGCGCCGTACCACAGCTCCTCCACCACGTCGTGGCACGCGTGGTACTCCCCGCGGTTGAACAGCGCCACCGCCGCGTCGAACGACCCATAACCAGCAGCCGCCTGCTCCTCGTCGTCGTCCTCCTCCTCGTCAGGGGACGGGCGCTCGCCTCGCGCCGTGAGGAGTCGCCGGCGGCAGCGGAGGTCGGAGCTGGCACGGCCGTGGAGGTGGAGCGGCGGTAGTCGCTGGCGGCGGAGCAAGAACGCCGCGGTCGCGGTGCCAGTGGTGCTGGTACACGCGCGGAGGCCCGGCGGCGGGCCGGCGCGCGCGCACGCGGAGGCGGAGGCGGAGGCCGGCACCGCCATGGAGGTGGAGGCGGGAGTGCCACGTATGACTTGCCTTGGATGTGGTGCCCGTGCCGTGCCGTGTCCGTGTGTGGCTGGCCACCGCCACGCCACCAATCATTGGCTCCCCACTGCACGTGTGGACTGCATACAGCGCACCGCGAACGAAAATATCCTTTCCAAAATATCTTTCTACTACTAATTCGTCCGGTCGACTGGACGATTAGGTTGGCGTGGGCCGCGACACTTCGAATGGTCCAACAACTTTTTTCGTGCGCTTGTTTTCGTGTTTCTTTCGTTTGGCTGCTGTCTTCGCTCATAAGCAACGACAGTACCATCGCAGCGTGGTTCACCGTGACCGCTTCACAGTGACGTTCTCCACCACGCCCGCCCGACGACAAGCGGCCTCCGTCCTCAATCTCCACTGTTTCCAGGCGTCCCCGGTCGCCTTCCTCTCTCTCCACCATGCTCACTGACCACCGCGCAGGCACCAGGTGGTCAGGAGAGGGGGTCGTCGCTGGCCGGGCCCAGACAAGGCGCAGGCACAGCTAGCCGCTGCAAGGCCGCGTCACCATCCTCGGTCACCGACTGATTGGAACCGGCCGTTCCCCGCTATGCTCTGCGTCGTCCGAAAGAAGAAGGGTGAAAAACGCATGTTGCAAACGTATATTTAAGTGTTTAAGATATTTCGTAGGTATGTTTCGTAGGTATGTTGGTGTTTCATTTGGATGTTGCAAAGGTAATCGAAATGTTGCATATGTTGCAATGGTTATACACGAATGTTTAAAGCTTCTGTTCCCAATGTTTCATCTATTTTTTAAATGTATGTTGCAAGTCACTACACCACAACCCTTAAACAACGACTGATTTGGAGTTGCTGAAAGGGGTGTACAGCAATAGCCAGTCAGTTTGCTAAAGGTTATAGCGACGGACCCTATAGATGCTATTGAAGTCGTCGTTATATATGTAAACAGCGACGAACATCATCTTTAACAACGGACAGTTCAATGGTCCAACTTTTAGCAACCGACAACATGTTAGAGCTTTTAGCGACCGACGGTTCATCGCAATAAGGACTTTTAGCGACTAACAATCCATTGCGCTCAATTAAACAAGATAAAAAAAAATAAAACCTTGTATATCTAAAACTCGTATACATTGAATTAAACATTCAAGACCAATGCAATATTGAAATGATTTAGGATGACATACACAAATGATCACATTAGACATACTCATTCAATCGTCAAACTCAAGTACATATGCAATCATGTCACTTAAAATAAAGCTATCCTTGTCTCAACATATGTATATACAACTGATGAAAAAAAACAAACTAGCACTTGCTGTCCATGGAAGCCATCAAAAATTAGGTAAAAGCTAAAAATACACAACCATCAGTACATGACTGTGAGTATTGAGTAGATAACCCATCCTCTCGTCGTGACTGAAATCACTGAACTATACTATACTGAAGTGTTCTACACCTTCTGAAATGTGCAACTATAGAAGCCAAGGACCCACTACATGGATAGGAAGAGCACGTGCACAACCAAAATAGATAGAAACTGAATAAGAAAGTATTTTACTTTTATACTTTTGTACACAAGTAGCACTAAAAAAAATATGCTAACTAGCAGGAACCCCCGCGCAGCTGCACTAGCAAGCATAAAAATGTAGCATGAGGCACCAGTAACGTAGGAAACCGTTGTAAATTTCGTAAACAATGCAAAGCATACAGACAAGAATAAAGCACTGAGTAACAAATAGGACAAATAAATGTATGTGCATGTCTGCATAAACCATAGAGCTAAGCAGCAAGTGTGTAGGAGATTTTGTAAAGCATAATAATAATATTAAAGTTAACAAAGATGCCAGAAATCAGGAAATCTAGTCTCTAATATAGTAATTATGTTCATAACATGCATTGATTCTACCTAGGTTGTCTAACTAACCCTACAGGTACCTATCGTACTGCGCATAGTTTCAGCTTCAAACCAATCGATAATAGCACATAACAATTTCGCATCTAAAACTTGCAGGTTCATAGGACCTCTGAATTTCTTGTAGAGAATATCTAAACAATACATTTTCTGTCGCATTAGGGAATCAATGTTGCCTGAGTTTGTCGCTGTGGCACAGATACTGGATCTGCTTCTCTCTCGATTCCCCTACTGTCAATGAATATGAAAATAAGATAGTGCAGCAAAATTTCCGTCAAATCTGTCATGACAGTTCTAGATGCCACTGTAAAGCAACACAATAAAAAGATAGTGTTAGGTGCCACTGTAAAACAACACAGCAAAAAAAAAAGTGCACCAACTATCACTACTAGAGAACAGACTTTAGAACGATGTCCCAATTTGGTATTAGCCTCGGCATTTTTTGCCGCCGGGACTAAAGGACCCTTTAGTCCCGGTTCGTAATACCAACCGGGACTAAAGGTCCCTGCCCAACGGTCGTTCGAGTGGCAGGGATCTTTAGTCCCGGCTGGTATTACCAATCGGGACTAAAGGTAAACCTTTAGTCCCGGTTGGTATACCAGCCAGGACTAAAGGTTTTAGTCCCGGTTTAGGTGATATCCCGGGAATAAATATTAATCTTTAGTCCCGGTTTGGCCACCTAACCGGAACTAATTATGCGGGCCTATACAACGGCTCATTTCTTCCTCCCCGAGCCCGAGCCATTCCATTCAAACTCACTTTGCCTCTGTTCTTGCTTGTTGTTGTTCTTACTCTCTCCCCTCCATTAGTATTGCTCTTGATTTTGGAGGTAACAAACTTAATCCTCTTATGTTTTATCAAGTAGCTTATCTCATTGCGATGTAGATGCATGTGTAACTTTATATGTTGGACTTTATTATGATTTTATATGTCATTTTAGCTCAAAATCACATGATGATTTGTATATATGTTTGGATAAACAA